GTAATTTGGTTAAGTATTAGTTGAGTTATAGTAGATTTTGTATTTGAGTGTACTTAGTGTGACGAAAATCACGAATTGCACGTGTGACAATATTTATGAAAACGACAGTAATCAGGGAATATGTAATTCTAATACAAGCAAAGACACTCACGTCTGACTGCTTGATGATCCAACACATCTGAGGCCAGGGAGATGCATCTTAGTAAAAAGAACATGAGCAGTAACATTTACTTTGCTGTACTTGTTACCCACAACATTGATTACAAAACAACTTATCCCGAGGGAACACAAGGTTGCAAGAATATACCGATTGCGTCCATACAGATAATACATTCTACCTGTAAGTGCTACTATAAATATTAAACTCAGTAAAGAAAATAAAAACTACTTTGATATAACAAATACCTATAACTGCTACCCTTCCGAGGATGCTAATCACAGCAACGAATTTATACCATGCATCACAACTAAACAATTGTCAGAATATAATTGGATAGCTCTCATTGACCGTCACTAGGTGTAAAAATAAATTACATAATCGCTGAAACACAGTTTATAAAAATTCTTGCTTACCCTTTTCCCAAGCTTCCCCATCTGAGCGAGTACGTACATTACATTTGCCACTAGGGCATTAGTGCTCCACACTGTAGTGTAATTTACAGATACACCTGCAGTGTATATGCTTACACACTGTATTGTAAGAGAAAATTTTAGCTGAAAATACAGGTGTATATTTACACACATATGCATATACTATAAGTAAAAAATTTCTGTATATGCTGTATACAAGTATACAGTATTACTAAGCATATTCTCTAATTAAATACTAAGTTTGAGTTTCTAAACCTCATTTACTTTACTTATTTATATACAGGCATTCACTAGTCCTTTAAACACAACCTTTTGAACCCTCTGCATAATTTTTTATACAAAAATTTTCTTGTTTTTTTCTATTATATACATTCTAGACTATGATTAGTATACTATGTAAAAATTATACAGGCATAGAGTGCCCTAAAAAATTAATAGAGAGACAAGAAAAAATGAGGGAAATGTCACAAAAAGCACTCCTTTGAACAGACTGTGACTCTTGTAGTGCTCTGTGTGTAGTGTATACACTTACATGTGTAAAATTTCCCACATATATGCATACATGTGTATAATTACAGGTGTAAACTGGGTCAGCAGGACCCATATACAATACACTACTTCTGTATACAGCATATATGGCATATACACTGTGCCAAATATAACAAGATACTTTACATTAAAATAGCTCATAAAAGTACACTATCATCTTT